TGGCTCCTTCACGACCACGAAAAACTTGTCGTCCGCTTGCGTTTTCTTTTTGGTAGGAGGCGGGTACCCGGACAAGCCACCCCATCTTCGTTTCACCAGCCGCCCCTTTCAAGCCCATTTCCGGAATTGCTTGCAGACCTGGAGATTTGTCTGGCATGTATTTGCCCGACCTCGACAATGGCGTCTTGCTGTCGCCGCCCAACAACTTCCCCTCCGCCCATTTCGCATAGAACTCCATGACTTAGCGGAAAACGTCATCACCGGTCGTCACGAGCGGCATCCACTGCCTCAATGCATTGCCAACGGCAGCGACATACTCCTTGTAGCAATTTATCTTTTTCTGCCAACGACCAGTGAGCTTCGTTCGGACTCATTCCCAAAATCAGCTTTTAGAAATCGAAAAACTTTTGTTTTTCGCCCTCCTTGCCGGAAGGGTTCCCTTGAATGGCCATCGACCTTCCTTTTTTCTCCCATGCCTCCCGCATGTCCAAGAACGCAGCCTTCTGCGATCGCTGCTTAGACCTCTTGTGTCTCGTGTTCTCGTTGAGACTGACCTGCGTATAGCCCGCAAAATCTCGGTCGGAGAACCACACCACTCTCGGCGGCCACGAGTGCATCTTCCACAATACGAATATTGGCTCACCCTCCAACTCCTTCACAACAGCCACGGTGTGTTGTCCGTTAACAGGGTAATAGTAGTACTTGTCCTTGTCCTCTGGCTTGAAGACATCTTTGTGAACCCTTTCAGCTTGCTCCGGCCTACGCTCCACCGACTTGTAGATGGGTGTYAGAAACAAAGGGTTTTTCGTCCAGATCTTGCCCCTTTTCTCGCGGAATTAACGCAGCATCACAGCCTTGATGTCGTCCACAGTTTCGCGATTTAGACTGCGGTGGTTGTAATATCTTTCCCAAGACGGGATGTCGGAGACCTTCCTGGGGTCGATGAGCAGTTGGACGAAGAGCTCCTTCTCCATGATCTCACCGCCATCGTTCCGCTCGTATTCGAGCCTGAACGCTGCTGCTTCGTTCCACTCCTCACCGACAGGCCGTTCGCCCCTGATCGCCGCCTCAGCAGTCTTCCGCCTCTGAGGTTTCTTCTGGCCATCGCCTTCTTCAGCTGCCACTTTCCGTTTCGATTTCCCCGAAGGTTCTCTCGCGGCGGCAACGCTTGGATCATCCGAATCTCCTCCACCCGCGGCTTGTCCTTCGCGGATGGTCAAACCGCCGGCCTGGGGCCTCCTCGCTTTCTTACTTGCCGTCCCACCCTCTTCCTTCGTCGGCCTCTTTCCCAAGCACGTTCTCCGTCGCCACCTCCATCCCCGCCCGTCACCGCCTCCGGTTTTCCTCTCATCCTCTTCATGCGGAAGGTTCCTTCCGCCACCTCCTCTTGCACCATCCTCTGTCACTCGCTCTTCTTCTCCGAAGGAGTCTGCTCCCCGCCAGAGCTTCCGCGGACAGCGCCCATCCCTTCAGCCTCATTCCCTCCAACATCTAGCCCCGATCTGCTTGAATCTCTTCTCGTCTCATCTCGAAGCGAATACGTGTCGGCGCCGCAGCGGACCTTGATAAGTTTTGGAGTACCGACCCGTTGAGTCCCTGTACCCTGAGAATGCAAGTCCGACGTGTTCCTAGGAGCATCCGGGCCGACCTGCGTGTGAACGCTTCGTCCCTTGATCCGACCCCCAGCGTCTGGAATCGGACTCTCGCGCCCCACTGTCGTACATGGAGTTTCTTGAGCCAAGTCGGACGATCCCTCACGGGGTGGCAGAAGCCGGAAAACATGCTCTGGCGGAAGAACCGGACGCTCTTTCGGCACCATCAGCGAGAGATCGAGATATTGCTCTGGCGATGGAAGACGCTTGCTGCCGCCATCGTAAAGGCCTTTGAAGTGAGAGCACAACGGCATGTTCGAGCCGTACCCCRCGAAACTCTTGATGGTCACCAACACACCTTTAACACCTCTGATAGGCAATCTGCACTCGTCGTACATACCGTTAGTGTGCAGCTTGAGGAAACCTCCAGGAGTCTTCGCGCACGAGACGACAGTAGCAAGAGGAACAACTTTGACCGCTCCCCCAGCGTCTGTAACGCAAGTGGGTCGCATGAAAACAGTTAGCCCAAAAAGGTCCCACTGAACAACGAAGTCCAAAAACCATGGTGCTCCCTTTGCGTGCATATACTGAGGAGTAGGTTGCTRTGCAGGTCGTCCCTCCCCGGGGGCAGATGGTCCAGCGCTTGTGGATGTGTTCTTTGCGGACACCATTGTATTCCCACCCATTGACTAGCACGCCCAACCTCAGACCAACTCGGATGACTACTACGCCCAACCCCAGACCACTACAGAAGCGAAGTGCGAACTAACTTGGACTTAACGAAATGGAGGACGAAAAGGACGTAAGAGATGGGTGTTCGAAATGCACACGAAGTCACAACAATCGGGTGAAGGATAGGAAAGACAGGAGGGAAGACGATAACTGTTCGGAAAGATTGCGACCCAACTAGATGCCCTCGAAACGACTAAGATGTGGTTTATCGACAAGTGCAAAGGGTGTCGACAAGTGCGAACTAACTCGCAGTTCTTTAGACAAGACAACAATGGCAACCTGTTGCACTAGGGGAAAGTGCGAACTAACTCGGAATTGTCGAACGGAAGACCTGAAAGACGCACGAAACGAGTAAGATGTGGTTTATCGACAAGTGAGAACTAACTCGCAGTTCTGCTGACAGGATGACAATTGCAACCCGAAGTACAACGGGAAAGGACGAACTGACTCTAAATTGTGGAACTGAAGTCATGGTTTATCGACAATTGCGAAGGGTTTCGACAAGTGCGAACTAACTCGCAGTTCTGTAGACAAGACAATAACGGCGATGCGCAGCACTAGGGGAAAGTACGAACTAACTCAGAATTATGGAACTAAAGACCTGAAAGCCGCACGGGTTGGGTTGTCAACACTACAACAGTGTTGCTCAAAAAGTGCGAACTAACTCGCATTTGTGGAAATAAAGAACTGCCTTTAATGAAATATGTGTCTAACCTTGGGAAAACTGCGAATAACCTTGCAGTTGTCACTCCTCGAACATTGTACGTCGCAAACTGCGAACTGACTCGCAATATATCTCTCTCTATATATATAAATCTATACATATATATATATATATATCAGGTCGGCGACCTCACAAGGGACAGGTGAGCGAAAATCGGGAATTGATTCGGTGTTCAGTGTAGCAATATATCTCTCTATATACATATATGTATCTATATCCTTATATATATATGTAGATATCAGGTCGGCGACCTCACAAGGGACAGGTGAGCGAAAATCGGGAATTGATTCGGTGTTGAGTGTAGAAACTAGGTATTGATTCGGGGTTTGCCATGCGCAGCGACGACTACAAGTTGCAAAGGGGATCGAGCAGCTCTATACGAACGTTATCGTGGCTATGGCGAAAGGTAATCGAGCTGCAGAACGCGGATCGGCTATGGCGGACGAAGGTGGAGGGTGGAGAAAAGAGATGAGAGCACGTCCACTGGCGAAACAACAAAACCGGGAATTGATTCGGGGTTCAACTGAACGCGGCTGCGGCGTTATATCCTGCAGGTACAGACAGGGCATCTGGGAATGTGTTCGGACGTCGGACACAGAATAGGACAACTCAAGTTGTATGATTTTACCTTCGTCGTGCGTTGAGCGAGCAACCAACCACTGAACCAGCTATGGTGGAGGGATATCGAGCTAGGAAGAGCGAAGACCGAGGAGCGAAGAGCGAACCGAACACAATGTGGCAATTGTGGACGAAGCGAAGAGCGAAGAGTGAGCGGGCTATGGCGGAAGGTGGTGGGGGCTGAAGAGCAAATATCAGAACGAGCGTGGAAGCGATAGCGCGACTTGATCTGTGGAGCGCCAACAAAAGGGATAACTCGAGGGCTGCAACGCCTTTTATACTTTGTTGCAGCAGACCTCACGTCGGGATCAAGGTGGGGCCGAATCAATTCGCATATCACACCCCTGGGCCCATAAAACGCCATCAAGGTGGGGCCGAATCGATTCGCGTATCGCACCCTGGGCCCATAAAACGCCAGGGCCTATAAACGGTTAGGGGTACCGAAAATTGTCAGTCGTCGATCAACAATTTTCAACCACGCAGATAAACGGAGCCACTGTTATGCCTGTGGCCCCAAAATCTCCGTCTACTCCGGCGTGCAATGATGTGACAGTTCCCGAAAACAAGGGGCAGACAATGTCATTTTCGCAGTTGTAATCTGGACCGTCGATCGGCATGATCCGACGCACGAGGTCAGGCGAAAGAATCTATAAGGTGCGGCGATTCGTTGTGCGCCGAGGCCAGGCGATGGTTTATTTCCCGCCGAGGCGCCGCGATTCGTTATACGCCGAGGTAAAAAACACCGGAAATCTATAAGTTCTGTTGTCGCTGTCATTCAGACATTTTGCAAATGTGAACGGCGTTCGATATGGATGCGCTTAGCCATGCACCATCGTTATCGATGCGCTTAGCTCATCGCCATCGCCAATGGTCGCCATGCACCATCGCCATTGATGCGCTTAGCTCATCGCCATCACGACGCAAAGCTATATCCCCCATCGCAGCCGTCCCTCTCGCCTGACCATCGCTGCGCTGACAATCGCCATCGCTCTCATCGCAGCGCTGGCCATCGTTGCGCCATCGCAACGCAGGTACTATAGTTGCCATCGCAACGTTGGTTCCATCGTTGCGCCATCTCTCAATCGGTGCRCCATCGCTATCGCTGCCATCACTATCGCTATCGCTGTTCCATCGCTGCGCCATCACTCTCCACCAGTGCGCCATCGTTGCACAATCGCTATCGCTGTTTCATCACTGCCATCGCTATCGCTATTGYTGCATTGTAACGCGTTCTATCGTCGCGCCATCRCTCTCCACCGGTGCGCCATCGCTCTCCAYYGCAGCGCTGGCCATCRCTATCGAAGCCCTGGCCAGTGTTATCCCACCGCAGCGCTGCGCGATTTCTCTCTCCATCGCCGCAAGATCTCCCTCCATCGCTGAGTGATCACTCTCCATCTCACTCCAACACTGCGTGATCCCTCTCGACAACCGGGCAACCTCCATCCTTGCCCCAGAGGCTCTCCATTACTTGTGCGCGATCCCGCCATCACCATTGTATTGTTGTTTCAKGCCGTCGTCGGTGCAGCCGCCCATCACTGTGGAATCGCATAAAACAGGTGACAGGTATGCTTAACGAAGGTTTAACTCGATGGAACTGATGTTGTGCAATAACAAATCTTGGTCATCGTTGTGCCTTCTCTCTCCATCGCTGCGGCATCGCCAACCATTGTTGCGCGTCCTCTCTCCATCTCTCTCCAGCGATGCGTGATCTCTACCGACCTTTCGTCATCTATCCCCATCGCTGCGGTATCTTTCCTAATCTATCTCCTTTGTCATCCATCTCCTTCGGTGCGCTATCTTTCCTAATCTATCTCCTTCGTCATCTATCTCCATCGCTGCGCTATCTTTCCTAATCTATCTCCATCGTCATCTATCTGCTTCGGTGCGCCATCTTTCTCCATTGTTGTGTTATCGCTAACCATCGATGCACCTGCTATCTCCATTGATGCACGATGTTTCTCCATCGGTGCGCAATCTCTCTCTCTCGCTGTGGCACACCTCCCAATCAGTTCGCGATCTCTTTTCCTTCCTGCGCCATCCACCTTCTTCCCCGGAATATACAACGCACTTTCATTATAGTTGTCTTTAGACTGAAAGATGACCCGAATTCAGCTGTAATGACCGGACGTTGTATTCGGGGGAAGACTGTGACTCCATCCATCTCTCTTGGTGCGCCATCTCTCTCCAAGTATTTTCATCGATGCGACGTCTGCCCATAGCTYCGCAATCTTTCTCCATCTAAAAAAATAGCACGCCATCTTTCCCTATTTCTCTCTTGCGACAATCTGTGGCTCGTACTACACGCTGAACAAACCGGAAACAACTTGCACTTGTACCCGCAATTTCGTAATGGAAATGGTCGTTTACAAGTGCGAATCCATTCGCTCTTGAACCAACCAACCCCTTAATTTGTCACTGTTTAGTCCATAAGTCAGAATTAACTCGCACTTGTACCCCCAGTTTCGTAATGAAAATGCCCGTTTGCAAGTGCGAATTTATTCGCTCTTCAATCAACCATCCCCCTAAATTTCTTACTCTATAGTCCAAAAGTCCCAGTTTCATAGTGGAAATGTTCGTCTTCAAGTGCGAATTTATTCGTTTTTCAACCAACCATCCCCCCAAATTTGTGACTCTTTAGTCCATAAGCCCCAGTTTCATAATGGAAATGCTCGTTTGGAAGTGCGAATTTATTCGCTCTTCAACCATCYATCCCCCTAAATTTGTTCATTTTTAGTCGATAATTCGCATCTCTTCTCGGCCGAAAAGAATGAAGTCTTTTTGTATTTGCGAGTTAACTCGCCACGGAACCAACCACGAAGGGAATTTCTTATTGCACGGCATAATCGAAATGTTCCTCTGAAGTGCGAATTTTTTGGCACTTGAAATTTCTCGCTGTTTAGTGGATAATACCGAATCGACTCGCACTTGTGTTCGCTCTTGTTCCGATCATGAACTTAATTTCTTACTGTACRTTGAATAAGTMTGAATCAGCTTGCATTTGTACTCTCGCCTGAAAAAATACGAGTTTACTCGGACATATCCAAACCACTTCCACACTAAACGAGTGGGTGAGGAGTCAAACTTGAGATACCACTTGAGCCTCACATCAGGGTCCGACAAAACGATATAGATTCAAATGTTGTTGTTCCACTGTTTTGTGATAAATGTTTGAAATGTGAGTTTGCTCCCTCTTGTTTATTTCCCTGACCTCGT